TCCCTGGCATTCTATATTCCTCTATTGAGAATTCTCTGTTTAGCTCTGTACTCCATTTTTTAATTAGATTACTTGATTTGTTGCTTTTTAACTTCTTGAGTTCTTTATATATACTAGATATTAGTCCTCTGTCAGATATAGGGTTGGGGAAGATCCTTTCCCAATCTGTAGGCAGTCATTTTGTTCTGATGACAGTGTCCTTTGCTTTACAGAAGCTTTTCAGTTTCATGAGGTCCCATTTATTGATTGTTGCTCTTAGAGCCTGTGCTGTTGGTGTTCTGTTGAAGTTTTCTCCTGTGCCAATGAATTCAAGGGTATTCCCCACTTTTTCTTCTAAGCGGTTTAGTGTGTCTGGTTTAATATTGAGGTCTTTGATCCACTTGGACTTTAGTTTTGTGCAGGGTGATAAGTATGGATCTATTTGCATTTTTCTACGTGTAGACATCCACTTAGACCAGCACCATTTGTTGAAGATGCTGTCTTTTTTCCATTGAATAGTTTTGGCATCTTTGTCAAAAAATCAGTGTCCATAAGTGTGTGGATTTATGTCAGGGTCTTCTATTCAATTCCATTGATCCACCAGTCTGTTTCTATGCCAGTACCATGCAGTTTTTAGTATTGTTGCTCTATAGTGCAGCTATAGATCAGGGATGGAGATACCTCTGGAAGATCTTTTACTGTAGAGAATTATTTTAGCAATTCTGGGTTTCTTGTTGTTCCATATGAAGGTGAGAATTTTTCTTTCAAGGTTTGTAAAGAATTGTGTTCATAATTTGATGGGAATTGCATTGAATCTGTAGATTGCTTTTGGTAAGATGGCCATTTTTACTATGTTAATCCTGCGAAGCCATGATCATGGGAGATCTTTCCATCTTCTGATCTCTTCTTCTAATTCTTTCTTCAGAGATTGGAAATTTTTTTCATATAAGTCTTTGACTTGCTTGGTTAGGGTCGCACCAAGGTACTTTATGTCCTTTGTGGCTATTGTGAAGGGTTTTGTTTCCCTAATTTCTCTCTTGGCCCTTTTGTCTTTTGTATACAGATGGGCTACTGATTATTTTGAGTTAATTTTGTATCCAGCCACTTTGCTGAAGGTATTAATCAGCTGTAGGAGTTCCCTGGTAGAGTTTTTGGGGTCACTCATGTATACTATCATATCATCTGCAAACAGTGATACTTTCACTTCTTTTCTAATTTGTATCCCCTTGATCTCCTTCAATTGTCTTCTTGCTCTAACAAGGATTTCAAGAATAATATTGAAGAGATATTGAGAGAGGGAAGCCTTGCCTTGTCCCTGATTTCAGTGGGATTGATATAAGTTTCTCTCCATTGAGTTTGATATTGGCTGTAGGCTTGTTATATATTGCCTTTACTATATTCAGGTATGTGCCTTGAATCCCTGATTTCTTCAATACTTTAAACATGAATGATGTTGGATCTTGTCAAATGCCTTTTCAGCATCTAATGAGATGATCATGTGGTTTTTCTCCTTCAGTTTGTTTATGTGGTGGATCACATTGATGGATTTCTGTATATTGAACCACCCCTTCATGTCTGGAATGAAGCCTACTTGGTTGTAGTGGATGATATCTTTGATGTGTTCTTGGATTCAGTTTGCAAGTATTTTGTTGAGTATTTTTGCATGGATGTTCATGAGGGAGATTGGCCTGAAATTCTCTTTCTTTGTTGGGTCTTTGCGAGGTTTAGGTACCAAGGTGACTGTGGCTTCATAGAATGAGTTTGGTAGTGTTCCTTCTGTTTCTATTTTGTGGAATAGTTTGAAGAGTATTGGTGTTAGCTCTTCTTTGAAGGTCTGGTAGAATTCTGCGCTGAAAACATCTGGCCCTGGGGTTTTTTTTTTTTGCATGGTAGACTTTTGATGACAGTTTCTATTTCCTTAGGAGATATAGGACTATTTAATTGATTTACCTGGTCTTGATTCAGCTTTGGCATGTGGAATCAGTCAAAAAAAAAAAATTGTTCATTTCATTTAGATTTTCAAATTTTGTGGCATATAGGCTTTTAAAGTAAGTCCAATTTGTTTGGATTTCTTCAGTGTCTGTGGTTATATCCCTCTTTTCGTTTTTGATTTTGTTGATTTGGATAGTGTCTCTCTGCCTTTCAGTTAGTTTGGCTAAGGGTTTGTCTATCTTGTTGATTTTCTAAAAGAACCAGCTCTTGGTTTCATTGATATTTGAATTGTTTTATTTGTTTCTAGTTGTTTGATTTCAGCCCTGAGTTTGATTATTTCCAGCCGGCTATTCCTTGTTGGTGTGTCTGCTTCTTTTTTTCCTAGGGCTTTTAAGTGAGCCATTAGGTTGCTTGCATGAGATGTTTCGAATTTTTTCTTGAAGGCACTTAGGCTCTCAGCATTTTTATGCTCTGCTTTCATGGGATGCCGCTGAGGAAATATTTATTAAGAAAAGGTGGTTTATTAAACATTAGTTTGTTTCTATTTTTGATATTCATGTTTCTTTTATATGATATTCTCACATGAAAATGTTTTCAGCTACTATATTTGAATTTTCTCGCTACATGCCTTTCAATGAGGTCTACTTGTGATACCCAGCTCTTTTTTTATTCTAACATCTTCTTATTTGAAAATCCAGTTTCACTTCTCATTTTGTGTTCTTTCTATATTTGTTCCAGGACTAGGAGATAGCCCCAAGACTTACTTGTACTGATCATTGTAATTTTGCTATGCTCTTGTTCATTCATTTCTCTGGGTCATGATAAATTTTGTCCATTTTCATCTAAATAAAGTAACTTGACTGGTGAATTAGAAAATTTTCTTTAGAGTATACTTTTCTAATCATCATTAGAAAGGGGTAGGGATCAAAGGATTGATGAAACAGATATTAAGCATGTACTATAGTGAGGACACCTTGGATTCCATCAATTTTTTCCATGAATGTGTTCTAACTTTTTGCTGTATGGTTGAAATGAGTTTATTTCATGGAGACATTATTTTGTATGCATGCTAACTCAAAATGGTTAGTCTTTTGATACATCAAAGCCTGTCCCTAGAGACATACTTCCTAGAGCAAAGCCATACCTTCTAATCCTCCTCACAAAGGTAGTAGTAGTGGAGGGGGGTGCCCAGGACGCATGCTCATCACTCACACACACACACACACACACACACACACACACACACACACACACAC